ATGCCCCCCCCCTCCTCCACCGCGTGGGGGATCTGGCCCGGGGGCAAAGATCCCAAGGAACAAAACGGACCCCCTGCTCCGGGGGCCATTTTTTCTCGCGCTTCCCTCCCAAATCATTGGGTTTCTCCCCCGGGGCCCAGCCGCCAGAAAAAGCTAGCAGCGCCGGCGGCCCTTGGCGCCAGGGGCCGTCGGGGGCGCTTCCACCTCCCCTCCCTCCTCTCCCCCCCCCTCCCCCCCCCTCCCCCCCGAGGCGGGCGGGGTTACGAATGAGGGAGGGGGAGGGGGGGGGGGCGTTTGTTTCCCCTCGAGCCTTTCTCCCAGGGCCCAGCCCCCAAAGGAAGCTGACAGCGGGCCGTTGAGGATCCCAATAAACATCACGACTCTTGCCGTGGAGGAGTTCAACAGGGATCCCTGCGCCGAGGATATCGCAATAGGACTCTTCCGTGTAGGAATTTAATCAGAACTCGCCTGGCAATCTCAACGCGGGACCCCCCTCCTCCTCCTCCCCCTCCTCCTCCTCCTCCTCCTCCTCCTCCTCCTCCTCCTCCTCCTTCAGGAAAGATCACGGGGGGAGGGGACCTCTACTTTCTCATCCTCCTTTTCCTCCCCTAGGCAAAGGGACAAGGAAGGAACCTGCTTCTCCTTCGCCCGACGCGCAAGGGGGCGAAGGAATTCCCGCATCCTCATCACTTTCCGTTCAGGGGAAGAGGGAGAGGGAGCGACCCCCGCCTTCTTGAGGGGAGGGAAGGAACACAGCGCCCACCTCCTCATCATCATCCCCGTCCTTCCTGTGGGGGAGGGGAAGGCAAGGCTCTCCTCCTCCTCGCATGAGAGGAACAAACATCGCGGAACCGCCTCCTCCTTTTTCCTGGCGGACAAAGGGGGCGCGGGGCGTCTGCCCTTTCCCTCCCGAGGGAAACGAGGGAGAGGGCACCTGTTCATCCGCCTCCTTTACTTCCTGGGAAAGAGAAGTAAGGGAAGAAACTTCGTCCTCCTCATGTTGCCCTTCCTCCCTCCTGCCCCCGCCCCTCCTCCACCCTTTCCTCTCCTTCCTGAGGAAGTGGGTGGTGTGTGTGTGTGTGTGTGTGTGTGTGTGTGTGTGTGTGTGTGTGTGTGTGTGTGTGTGTGTGTGTGTGTGTGTGTGTGTGTGTGTGTGGGGGGGGGGGTGGGGGGGGGGGAGCGAACCTCCTCCACCTTCTCATTCTCGCCCTCCTCCTCACTGAAGGAACACATTGAACGTAACCTCCTCCTCGCCACCTCCTCGTCCTTCCTGCGGGACAAGGAAGGGAGGGGGGGGGAGTTACGCCCCCCCACTCCAGTGGGGGGAGAAAAAGGGAAGGCGCCCCCTCGTCCTCCCTGTTTGACCTGGGGGGGGGGGGAAAAAAGGGAGAAACCTCCTCTCCTCCCTGAACAAAGAGGAAAAAGCCCCCCCCCGCCGCCTCTCCATCCCTCTCCTTCCTGAGGAAGGGGGGACAAATGAAACCTCATCCTCCTTTCTGACAGAGGGGAAGGGGCGGGGCCTTTGTTTCGCACCGCGTCCTTCCCGGGGGAATGGAGGGATGGGAACCTCCGCGCCATCCATCCTCAAGGAAAGGGAAAGAACCCACTCATCATCGTCCTCTTTCCTGAAGGAGAGGGAAGGGGAGCAGCCTCCACCCGCCTCCTCGGAAAGGGGGCAGGAAAGTCACTTCCTCCTCCCCCAACAGCCTCCTCCTGCCTGACGAAAAAGGAAAAGGAAGGATCCCCCTCCTCCTTCCTGGGGGCAGAACCTCCCCGTCTTCCTGCCTGAAGGAGAAAAGAAGGGAAGATCCTCCACGTCCCCCCTCCCGCGGGAACGGAGAGAGAAGACACCTGTTCATGGTTACCCTCCTTTCCTTCCTGAGGAAAACGGGAGGCAAAGAACCGCTTCCTGCTGGTTGGGAAAAGAACGGAACCTGGACCCCCCTTTCCCCTCCTCCCCGGCCTTTTTCCGATTCAAGGGGAAGGAAGGGAAAGGGGCGCCGCCTCCTTCGCGGGGGCGCGAGAAGGGGCGGGGCCGCCTCTCCCTCCTTCCTGACAGAAAAGAGCACGAACGGAACCTCCACCTCCTCCTTGCGAGCGAGAAGACATGGAAGGCAACTCCTTATCCTCATTGTTCTGGAGGGAGAAGGAGGGGAAGACACCGCCTCCTGCTTCCTGAAGGAAGAGAAGGAACGCGACCCCCGTCTCCTCTTCATCCCTTTCCTTCCTGAGGAAGAGGGAATGCAAATAACCTCCTCCGCCTTTATGAAAGAAGGTATGGGGTGGGACCTTGTTCTCACGGCCTCCGTCCTGAGGGAGAACGGGGAAGGGGACCTCCACGTCCTCCATCCTGCAGGAAAGGAAAGCGAATAAACCCTCTCATCATCGCCCTCCTTCCTGAAGAGGGACGTGAAGCGACCGGCTCCTCCTTCATGAGAGGAAGGTAGGGCAATTTCTTCCTGCTCCTCCTCCTCCTCCTGCCTGAGGGAAAGGAAAGGGAAAGGGCCTCCTCCTCCTTCCTTTGGGCACGACCAAGGGCGGACCACCTCTTCCTCCTTCCCGAAAGAGAGTGCGAACGGAACCTCCATTTCCTCCTTGTGAGCGTAAGGAAACGGAAGAAACCTTCTCATCCTCCTCCTTCCTGAGGGAGGGACCTCCTTTTTCTCTGTGGAAAAAGGAAAGAGAGGGACCTCCCTCTCCTCTATGAAACTTTGTTTTCACCTCATGAAAAATGTTGAACACGCAGGCCCCCGTTACGCCCCCGAAGCCCCCACAGGGGCCCAAAAGGAGCTCCAAAAAGGCCATGGGAGGCCCCCTGGACGGCCGACGAGGGCCTCCAGAGGGCTCCAAGACGGCTCCAGCCCCCCAGGACGGCCCAAGAGGGCCCCAGAACAGCCAAAGAGGGCACACAGCCGGCCCGAACGAGCCCAAACATGACCCCCAAGAAAGCACAAAAGGCCCCCAGCGATTGCAGAATGCTTGCAAAAGACTCTTTGGAAGCTTCCCGAGGCTCCAAGAGGCCCCCGATTCAATCACGATTCATCTCAGGGCATGAAAGAAGTCCCACAAACGAACGCCGCCAGACCCCGAGAAACACTACAAACGCTCCTGAATCACGATCCACTTCAGCGGTGTGCCGGCATGGGCGAGGCGGCGGGATGCGAACCTTGGCTCTGGGGCCGTCCGTGCAACTCCCTATGGTGTACGACCGGTGTGAGGAGATAGTCGACATACGCGGGGGGTCGTGACGCCACGCAAATCCTCTGACTATGGCCGCACGTGACCTACATCCCTCTTGGGCACGATCCGTGTCATGGGTGTGCCGACCCCACAGCCCACTTCTCCTCCTCCTCCTCCTCCTCCTCCCCTCCTCTCTCCTCCTCCACTCTCCTCCTCCTCCTCCTCCTCCTCCTCCTCCTCCTCCTCGTTCACCTCCTCCCCTCCTCCTCCTCCTCCTCCTCGTTCACCTCCTCCCCCCCCTCCTCCTCCTCCTCCTCCTCCTCCTCCTCCTCCTCCTCCTCCTCCTCCTCCTCCTCCTCCTCCTCCTCTACTGCTCCTCTTCCTCCTCCTCCTCCTCCTTCTTCACCTCCTCTTTCGATTCGCTCGCGCGGTTTGCTTTTCTTCGGCAATGGTGCTATCGCTCATCCGTGGCCGCATCCTGATCCAAGATTGGCGCAGCCACCACAGCACTGACCACACTCTCCAATACGAGCGGTACTGTCGCCTCAGAGCTGGCCACAGCCCTCATTGCAGATGATGCTGCCGGTCGCGCAAAAGCCCCATTCATGGATGGGATTGGCGTTCTCGCCCAAGCGCTGGCCACACCCCTGCCTTGGAGTCATGCTGCCGTCTGAACGCTGGTGAAATCCTTAATGGACCGCGGCACTCATTTCGCAGCGCCAACCACGCCCCTCATTGACTATTGTGACGCCGCTCCACTCGCACGGTTCCCACAGCCCTCATGAGAGAATGGTGCTCCGCCCAAGCGCCAGCCACATCCATTTCCAAAATTGTGCTACTGCCCCAACGCTGGCCGCATCCGTGTGTGAGACTGGTACTCTCGTTTGAGCCTCGGCTACATCCGTCTTTGCGAGCGTCACGTCCGCGCGAGACAACTGGCGACCGCAGCTGCCGTCCCTACGTGCTGGGCGAGTGCCGAACCTGGCGTTCGGTTTGGACGGAACGCGTCGGGTCTGCTGCCAATCGGGGCTGCGCCAGGTTAGCCCCCCCAACGTCAGGTGCGGGAATGGGTCGTAGCAACACTGCGGCTATCAATATGCGAACCGCAGAGTTAATTAGACATGTAGGTGCAAGGCTCAATATTAGAAGGCGAACCGCAGCGAGCCTTAGAATCTTGTACATGTGTATATATATATATATATATATGTATATCGATAAATCGATAGATGGAACTTCGGAACATTGGCGAAACCTGCGAATCTGAAACAAAAATTGGCATGCGCGCGCGACGACGCGCGCGTGTGCACAAGGGATCTTGGGAATATAGATGTTTGATAGTCGAATGCGTGCGCAGAATCGTATTCGAAGAAGATGCAGGGGGTCGATACCGGCTTGACTGGGATGGTATGGGTTCATATATGAAATGAACGATGGAACAGAACTATACGTACATTGCGAATCGCAAGGCCAGCGTGATACGTGATAAACCTTAATTCTTTCTAGGACAACAAAAACAGGCGGCGACAAGGCGGCGACAGCACCAACACAGCCGCCAGAGTGGTAGTCTGGCCCAGACGACGGGCGGCGACGAGGCGGCGACGGGGCGGCCACGGCGACAACATAGCCGCCAGACCGACAATCAGGTCCGGACGAAGGGCGGCGACGAAGCGACGACTGGGTGGCGACGGCGACAACCTAGACGCCAGACCGACATTCGGGCCCAGTTCCTCGGAACAGACATGAGAAAACCGAAGTGCAAACACTGCTTAGGGGAATCAACTGACCCTGAATGTGCATGCTGCATGATACAAGAACTGGTCGCTGCCACTACCTGGCGAGTGTTGGTGAGCGCTCGGGTGCCTTTTCTCAAGACGCCGTAACTGCATGAATGACCCCGCGGTCCGCGGCACTACTTCATCCGGCTGTCCTGCCCGCACTCCCATGATGTCCAAGCGATCTCACAACGTCGTGTCTATTGCAAGGGCAGTGTGAGCTCAGCCATGACCAATGGCCGTCCAAGTGTGCGTGCTTCACACGACATCGGGCGCAACCGCGCTAAGATCCAGAGCTTCTTTGGAACAGCATATGGGACACACGGTGAGCGCGTTCTAACATTCGTTTTGTAGTTTGCGCGACATGCATTCGCAACTTTGATTAATATGATCATATGGTCCGTGACTTCCCACTATTAAAAAGTATACTACGTGAGCCTGTGCTAGTATCTCCCACAATGTATTGCGAACCATTTGCGAATCGCAACAACGCCCACTGTCTGCTGAAATCCTGGACTGACGCAAACACCAAACTCCAGACCACACCGTTATACAGCTACGCCGTTTGCCCAGCCTGCCGAACGCAAGAATGAAGCTTATGCGTACGCCAAGCAATCAGGAACACCAAAGCGATGGAACATGAGGATACTTCTGCAGTCAAGTGCATCGCCCCCCCTCCTGCAAAACCATGAAACAGTTCACCTCCACACCTGTGCAGGCCACGCCAGCGCCCACGAAACGTAGCACCTGCACATGCAAACTTACTCCCACGGGCACGTCGATATGGATCGTGAATCATGCCATCGGCGCGGCATCAACCATCAATCCGGACACGTTCACACTGTAAGGGCACATTAGTTTGGGATCTTAACTCGGCAAACAATCATGTGCACGACTTGAGGTGTCTTACGCAATCCGCCACCGTGCACGAGGCTTGTAGTACTTACTTACTTGTTGACACCGCCTAGAGAGATGCACCTGCTGGAATCTCTGGAGCTTGTGGCGTGACCCTCGGCGCTTATCGCGTGACGTTTCAAAAAAGAGGCCAGCGCCAAGACGGGCCACGAGGATCCCAAGAGGCCCGCGACACAATCCGAAAGGGCCCCGAATCGACCCAAGAACGCCCCAAAACGCCCGACATGACTTCCAGACGGCCCAACAAGCCGCCAACATGCCCCTAAACGGCTCAATGGGGCCCCAAGGTGACCGTCAATGTACCCAAGTCATTGGTTTGCATGTGCTGCTATCGGTTGTGCTGGACTGTTTTTGGCGCACTCGCGCTGTCGAGCTTCAGGGGGCCCAGGGCATCCCAAACGGCCGCACCACGGCCCCAGGGGCCCCCGAGGGGGCCCCACCAGGGGCAACCCGAACTGGCCATGGGCGCCGCTCCCCGAAGATAGCTCACGATATCTCCTAGATGCCCCAGTCCCCCAAGAGGCCCCAGGAGGCCTCTCAGATGCTCCCAAGAGGCATCCTCTTCCTCCCTCTCCTCCTCCTCCTCCTCCTCCTCCTGCAAGTTCCTCCATTAGCGACGGGGCCCCATTCCCCCTCCTGCATCCTGGTCCTTGTACACATGCACACACACACACACGCAAACACAGACAAACACACACAAACACAAACACACACACACACGCACGCACGCACGCACGCACGCACGCACGCACGCGCGCGCGCACACGCACGCACACGCACACGCACACGCACACGCACAACACACACAACACGCAACGAACAACACACAACACACGACACACACCACACAACACACACAACACACACACAACGCACAACACACAACACACATAACACACACCACACACAACGCACACAATATACATACGACACACACGACACCCACAACACACACACACACACGCACGCACACACATTCACACACGTTCACACACACGCACGCACGCACGCACACACACACACACTAGAAGCAGTGCGCGCGCTTCGCGCGCGCTCAAGTTCTAGCTAGCTTCTTTGGGCCTCCCTGGAGCATCCTGGACTGCTTCTTGAAGTCGTCATGGGACCTTCTTGGCATGTCTTCGGGGGCCTCTTAGAAAAAGTGTTGAAGCCTTTTGGGTGCCGTCTTGGGGCCTCTTGGAGCCTCTTTTGGGTTTCTTGGGGCCTCTTCTCTTTTCTCCTTTTTGGGCCTAGGGTGCTGTCGCACAGGCCGCCTCAGACCATGTCGGCCGTCAAGAACAGCCAGAAGTTGTAAGATTGGTCAACATATCGATTGCGGTCTCAAGAGCACGAGCTTCAGCCTTGAAAAACGATGCTGGTCTTGCCATGAATACTCCAACCCTACATGCCAGATAAGCGTGCCAAGCGCCGCCAGCTGTAACATGTGCCTCAATCTAGACAGCGGTGGCAGAACAGTTATCGCCACGAGGCCCCCCGTCGAAATGAATGGGGTAATTGATTCCCTTGGTGCGCATGCCGTCGGTTGGAGGGTTGTGCTGCTGGCTCCATGAACGTCGTTGGTCCATCGTGTGGTTCACCAAGTGGTCTGCGATCATGTTGTAGCACCGGCGTAGCCGAGATACGGGGTCTGCCCGCGCCTGTTATGGTTGCCACCCACTCTGAATCATGCCAAAGAGCTTCCTGGTGACTCTGGAAAGCAACGGTGCCAAGTCCTGGGTCGGGAGCGGCGCGCGTCCATTAACTACCGCTGCGAGCGGCGCGCAGTCCGTGACCAAACCGAAATGCTGATCACTTCCTCCCCACCGGGCTGCCGGCGACCCTTCGCCGTGAGTGGGGTAAGTTATCAAGAATGTGTAGCTCCAGCCTTGGCGCCTTGGGAGGCCTCTTCGGTACCTGGCGTGTTTCTGCAAATGAATTGCAGATTGTCGCGGGAGCTGCCACACCAGGCATGCGTCGCGCTCGAAACTCGCTCGCGTGCGTCCCCATCCGATCGTGGATCGCATGTGCTGCGTCTTTTCGGTCGCGGCCCCACGTGGCCCCGTTGAGCGTCGCGAAGATGCCCCCCCAATTTACTCTAGCCCATGCCGACATGTACGCGGCCATCCTGGCGACGTTTGCGCTGAGACTGGAGGGCGCGCGCCCCCCCCCCCCCCGCCACTATCGGTCGCGGTTTCTCCGGGATACTGCCAAGAAGTGAGCCGCGGGAGCATCGGGCAGCGAGATCTCCCTCCATGCATTCCTGCGCGCGTCGCGCAATATACGGATGTGCAAGGGTCGCGCCCTGGCTGTCGCCATCCAGACCGGAATCTTCCTCCGAGTACGGATCGCGCACTGGGAGTTGTCTTCGTTTGGGCGCTGTTTCATGTTGAACACCTTCCGCAAGACAGTATTATTCAAGCGTCGAGCCCTGTTGAGCAAGTGCTTTGGTATGTGCCAGGAACGAGATCCATGGCGGGCGGAAGCGGCGGGCCCCGAGGCCCGGGCCCGAAGTTTCGCCTTGATATGGCCTCGGCTTCTGAATGCCTTGGCGTTCGTCCAGAAACGACACTCTGCGCGCTCCAAACGATATTCCAGACTTGCCTTCGCGTCGCCGCTCGCGCCCAAGAACGCACCTAGCGCGACAATGCCGCGGGTCACTTCGAAAATCTAATCCCCGGCTCGGACCTGCAACGCCGATGGTTCAATATCCGCGAGGCCTCCACGCGGCATGCGGAGTAGGGGGGGCTTGCCCATCGGAACCGCATGGTGCTGATGGCGTTGGTGATGTCGCCGACCATGCTCCGGAATTCCTCGATATTGGAAGCAAGCGTGAACGCGTTCTCGATCCGTGACATGCGGGAGAGCGGCGGCCTCTCGTCGTCACAGGAGAAAACGATGCCGCGGGCCTGCCGCGACTAGAAGACTGGCGCTAACGCCCACTCCAGTAGAACATTGAAATCCTCTGGTGCCTCTGCTCCTCCTTGAACGCCTCCCTTCCCCATGCCAAAAAATATCTGACTTCTCCGTGCTTGGCAAAGACGCTGCGCGCTGCATTCCGGGCATCCTGCGTGCCAGAGCTGCAATCAAGGTAGGGCATGCGCCCCTCTATGAGCCATGGCCTGCAGAACGGCATCGCATGCCATGGAGTCAAAGGCGGCCTCGATGTCCAGAGAGCGAAGAGCCAAGCCGCGACCCCAGAAGCTGGCAACGGAAACGGCTTGACGTAGCGTCGCTACAACGTCGTCGCATCCATGGCCAGGACGGAATTCGAAAGTACAGACTCTGGTGAAACTCGGGGTGAAGGCCTGATGAGCGGCGCGACGCATTGCATGTGCCACTTGGAGCATGCATCGAATTTCCCGGTCCACCGGGAATCAGCGAGCAGCTCTGGCCGAGCCACCTTGGGTAGACCAATGAATTCTATTATTTATCCAGCTGATGGGGTCCACGGAGAATAAACTGTTGAACCTCTCGGAGAACAACTCCCACATGTCCACATTCGAAGCAGCATGCTATGCGGCAAATGATTAGACATCTCAGGATGGGTAAGGTCAACAACCGCGGATGTGTCGCTTTTTAGCTTAGCTCGGCCACGAACGATAGAATATGGAGTGATTTTCGCGGGAATCCAACCATCCATCACTTCGCATGCAGACCTGCCGCTCCACCGTCTGAGCCGACGAGTTGGACTCTCGTAGTGTTGTCGTCGTCCCTGAAGCGCTCGCTGCCAAATCTATGACATTCGCGCTTCCAGATATCGCGGTTGCTGGTAAATGCCCCGTCTACCCTGAGAGACATGGGAACAATAACTGGGTTCCCGCTCCTGTGGCCCACTTGGCCCAACTGTCGAGAACATCACGCATGCTTCATTTGACGTCGCACTTTCCGTAAAGCTCGGACGGCCGACGGACGCGTTGAAGTGGCGGCTCTGGCCACTGCGTGTATCCGCGGGCTTGAACTCTTCATTCGAAACCTTCCTGGCCTATGAAAGGACATTATGAAGGACATTATGAAGGACATTCCACGCTCAGGGCATTATGAAGGATGCTTTTTTGGATATCTGCAAAGCTACCCTGGTCTGAAAGACAACGCCGTCGGAAACACTCCTCCTCCTCATGTGTAGCCGGGCCCCATCTCACAAGGGGAGAAGGAGTGTGAACTCATGCAAGTCAGTGTGAACTCATGGAAGAAGAGGGAGACGGAGGACTCCAACGACAGGTCGATGGTCAGAGTTTCTGGTTCAGTTGCCTTCAAGGTCTCTGCCCTAGCAGAGCCGCCAACGCCAGCAGTGATACAGAGAACATTTGAGACCCAGTAAGAAGTTTCCGAAGTACCCCTCGAGTGCACAGAGCACCCAGATCGACCTCGGCGCGCCTCGTGCTGTCCTCGGGGGCGACAGTGCTCGCAGCGACTAGCCCCATAGAGTCTATCCAAGGAACAATTTTGCGTAGCACTGCCATAGCATGTGAACCACGATGCGGAAAGACAGCGTCGCCACGAAGTTCCGAAGTTTGGAGGGAATTGCACATTAGCGTCTAGCCCCAAAACGACTTCAAACGATATGCGAATATTGGAACTTCGAATACGATTGACAAACTGACGTCTCGGCAAAGGTCAGCGATGCCATCCCATCTTCTTCAAAATGGTCCAAAATATGAACGATTGGCAAATCGTGTTGCCGATAGCCGCGCCGCACCAGTAGGCCCCATGGGCAAACTCTCTGAGCGCTGAGAGCCACAGTCTAGGCATAATGAGGGCACAATCGCATTCCCCAGCGGGTAAAAAATAGCGTGGCCCGAAAAAGTGAAACCATGAATTCGACCCCAGGCTGGTAC